ATTGTTAAACTTTATCAGGCTAAATAAGCACTTCTTTTGGCTGTTAAGATTTCTTTTACCAACTTCTCATAACATCTTAAAACATTGTTACTAATATGAGTATTAAGACAACCATCTCCTGGAACAGCTAAATTAATGCTGCATTGGCAACATAGAGATAGCATGTTGAAGGGTCTCCTTTCCATTCTCACTCTAATCCACTGGGCTGCTGAAAGATCCCAAATCTGCTTGCGCCTTGGTTTCCTCATCTGTGAGGATATGGCTCACTGGGATGCAGATGCTACCACCAGTTAGATGGCCACAATAGGAGAAAAAGAGCACACAGAAGAGAGTGGTCCAGACTAAGATATTTTCCCTTCTTTATCCTTAGGCAGAGGCACCTCTGATAAAGCTGAATGTTATGTTAGAGCTTCCAGAAGAAAATAACAGGAATCAGGCCAGGCAAGGGGGCCAAGCTTTAGATCAAAGTCTTTGGGGCAGGGAGTTCAGCACCACAGACAAGCCCCACATTGGGTAAATTATTTGGAATCAGCATGAGAACACCCAACACCAGCAACACTGAGAAGAGGACCAAGAGTTGCCAAAACTCCAAAAATCAAGGTCCTAGAGTCCCACAAAACAGCATGAACCATACAGGGGGAGGGCTGAGATGGTGTCCTTCCACTCTCAGACACATTGTGCAAAATAGCTATTTTTGGATCCATAACAATATATTCACCTTTTTAGTTTCTAGCAGCATGAATTAATGCAAGAGGTGTGGCAAGCTGGGATCCCCTCACACCCAGCCTGCTCTGGCCCTTCTTCACCCACCACTGCAGTTCCTGCTCCTCTGGTTTCTGATCTTTTCTCACCCCAGTAGAAGGAATCCCAAACTTACTGCAGATTCCAACACAGCCAAGAGTAAAGAAGAAACCAGCAAACCACGTGTCTGCACTGTGGTGGGCATCATTCCACTGCAGGGGGGTGAACGAGTCACACTCAGAGTAACTCTCACCTGCCCAGTTCTGTGCCTGAAACAACCAACTCAAGCAATGCTTTCCTGTGACTGCTGTTCTCTGAAATCTGATGTGACAGTATTGGGCTTTTTATTATACACCAGGAACCAAGGACAGAAAGTGGAGCCAGAAAGCCTTGAGAACAGGTTTAGCAAAGGCTGTGTCCAGGACAAAGCAAAAATGTCCAAATAATGTCGTATGTTCATCAGATCTCCCCATCGATTTCAAGGGTAACCCTCTGCTTTTTGGCACAAAAGATTATGCAGGCATAGCATATCCATCAGGAAAAAAGGGTAACAAAATCTCCAGACACAGAAGGAGCAGGTGGGCAAGAGCAATGTGAGTACTGAGCAAAGCTTTGTATCAGGCTGAGGCAAAGGGCTACCTTTTCCAAAAAGCACTGGACTGAAACAACCAGAACAAAGAATATACTTACACATTAAGATTTAAAAATGGAGACTGGGAGCATAAGGACTGAACCAGTGGCATAAGGACAATTTATTGACATACATTAGAAGCAGGAAGACTGCACAACAATTGTCTGGCAAGTCTGAAATAGTACTGGGAAACAAAGGGAGTGAAGAAAGAGGACAAAAAACACCACGGAAAAAATAATGGCTGATTATGACCTTGAGCTACTTAGTTATGCACAAGAGGAACCTTGCCTTTTCTCACCCTGTATCACCATACTAACATTTCTTGTTAGCTGGGTTCCTAATTTGGGATGTTCATAAAAAATACCCACTACTTCTTCCAGTGGAAATTCCTAGTCTTTTCTTTTTCAGTTCTCTTTCACACCAGCCAACAGCACTCTCCCTCCAAGATGGGAAGCAAAAACAACACTCAGGAAAGTGAGGGAATAAGAATTCCCCTCTCTTACACAGGAAAACAGAGGAAATAGAATTCTGTGACACAAAATCTTTGCACTGTCTATTTTTTTGGGGCGTGGAGCAATCTTGACCCTACCTCATATTCTAAGATATTCTACCTCTCTATCTCCTGATGCCCAGAAATCCAGACAGACCAAAAGGTACCTTTTGGGCTAAAAAAAAAAAAAAAAAAAAAAAAAAAGTTTTTAGGCTTAATACAGATTGAAAAAGCTATGATATTCAAGTCACAAAATTGTCTCCTCTGGCCCTTTCAAATAGCAAATCCCATTAATCAATTTTTTTGCAAGTAAAGGGTGAAAGAACTGCAGATAGCAAAACAGAAAGTGCTGAAATAAAGGGATAAATTAAAGGCAAGCAATTCTGAGGACACACACAGCACTTCAGAAGTAGCCCAAGGTTGGAGGGAGGGCTTCCAACAAAAACCTGCACTTTTCTATCAGGAATGAAGGGACAGCAGTCCTCAAAAATAGCCACAAATGATGATCCAGATTACATGCCAATGAATTCTGTGATTCAGTAAACCGTCTGGAAGGCTACTTTAAAAGATTATAACTTTAATGCCTGAGCAGGGATTACATAATGGGGAGAAAAACAACATTGATACTGTAGCAAAAAAATATGCCTTTTTAAACTTTGAGTGCATCCACAGAATTCATTATTATTTCTCTGGCCTTTCAAAAGGGCCTCGACAATGTGACTCATGAAGACTATAATGAAAACACAACAGTCACGACTGGAAGTTGGAGTATTGATTAAAAACAAGCTAAGGAGCCAAAAGTAAAATGTACAAATGAAAAGACACTTTGACAAGATAAATGTTAAGAGCTGTTGAATGCAGAGGCCATGCTGGTATCAGTTTTTAACTTTAGTTCGTGCCTAGAAAGATCAACTGTAAAATTAAGAGTGGCAAAAATGACAAAGAAAGGGAGAGTACTGGAGTTACTGAAGGGTTTAACCAAGCTGAGTGAATGCCAAACACAATAAATATATTTTTTTATAATTGCTAAGGAGATCATATTGCAACATTCTCCACAGGGAGGACCTGGGTGCCACCATAACAAATCAAGGGAAACTTTCAGGGATATGCAATAATGGCAGGTAAGTCAAGCAGCAAAAGAGTTCTGTGCTGAAAACATTATCCTTCTAATATCTGCCTGCCAGGGAAAGAGCTTCCTGGAGAATGCTAATGAGCCTTCCCTCATTAAAGCTACAGAAGTAACAGGAGTGCAAGGGCAGGTGTCTACCACAATGTCACTTATAAGAGACTGCCATGTATGAAACCCTACAGTGATCAAACTGTTTATGTTAGTGAGCACACAAGCAAAAGGGAACACAACAGAGATGCACAGTCTCAAAGTCAGGATCTGTTGTCCGACTTTCTCACCTCCCTCCAGTCTTGAAAGGGAAATCATTCAGTTGAATTAAACAAGCAGTAAATTCAAAATAGAGGAATTTATTATTTTTCAACGTGCAGCCTGAGCATACGAAAATCAATGCCTTGTTAAGAGACATCAGCAGGAATAGGCAAGAATTATTCTATCCATAGACTAGAAAAATAGAAAAATATAGGGTTGGATGGGATTGTTTGCTGGAAAGACCACACAGACCTTTGTGCATAGACAAGGGACCTGCCTGCTGCACGTTCTGACAAGGACAGAGTATTCCAAAAGGATCTGATGCTGGTCAACTTCACTCTCTTACCAATCAATCAATTTTGTACAAAATGTCAGGGTAGACTTGGCATTAATTACACCATGGGCCTGTTCCAGTGCAGTAATTCCTACTTTTGTTCTCTGTGGCCAAAAGAAATTGCAAGGAAATTGACGAGTTCACTTTATCCAAAGCAAAATGCCTCATCCTCGAAGCTGGCTATGGTGCCTGACACAACGCTGTCAGTGCATCATTTACACGTCACAAAAACATGGAAAAACATGTATGTTCACTTTGCCACCTGCTCTCCCCCTGCCACCACAAATAATCAGCAAGAATCTCAATAGTAAGACTTTCTTTTACTATACACACATTGAATATAGTGCTCTGCTTGGTAACATATAAATACATTTCCTTTTTTTATCTTACTATCTTTTTTCCCATGCATGCATCACTATTTGCAAAACCCATTTAATAATTACAAGGCAGTCCAAGTTGTGTGTCAGAGCCTGGGATATTGCCACTCACACAGTGGTTTGCTACACTCCCTCTTTGGTCTTGTGGCTAACAATTCACCCAAGCTGTGAGAATACCTCACCACAACCCACACACTGCTGCTCTTCAAAGGAAGACAAGGATACATAATTAAGAGATGATGAGCTCAAATATAAGACATGAGATGTGGGAGCAGATTTTTAACCACACCGGTGAGTGGTTTTACTACTGAAGTTTCATCAGCTGTCTTTACTTATGGTATCAGTGGAACTCACACGTTCTCAAACTGTATTTGCAGCAGCAAAGGGAAAAAAAAGGAATGCTAAAACTGTACCACTGCATGAAAATAGTTTTAACATCAACTGGTCAAAACTGAAATTGTAAATCAGCATTATTAACAAATTGCCCTTGTAACAAGTGGGGCCTATGTCTTGAAAAAAAAAAATCAAACCAGCATCCAGTTTTGCTAAAAATACTGTTAAAATTTCATCCCACAAGAATTGTAACCTGAAAATATTCTCATTCTGATTTCAAGACTTGATGATGCTGTAATTGTGGCCATAATATAAAGAACTATAGCCAGAAGTATCTGTGTGTACATGTGCCAGCTCAGGAACTAAAGGCACAATGCAGAGTGGAAATGAAAATTCAGATGTGGGTACAGATCCACTCCAGCACACACAGGATCAGTCCCTCGCTGGCTATTCAGAATAAACAAAATATCAAACTACTTTTCTTATTACTCTGCAGAGCTTAAACTAGTTTTTGTTGCTCTTGTCGTGACTGATTAGGGAAAGAAGTGATAAACCTGGAGCAAAACAAGATGTGAATAAAGCTCCCAAACTCGAGTGAGGGCCACTGACCAGCCTTCAGAAATCGACATAAGAAATAGCAGGATTACATGCTCGCTTGTTTTCTGATTAATAACAACGACAACAAAAAAAGAATAATTAGAATAATTCAGTTTTACCGAAAAGAAGTCTTCGTTTTGTGCTGATGCAGGACCACATCTCTACGAGCCAGGGACCCTTTGCAGGGCCAGAGCCTCCCAGCAGCAGCCACACCCTCCTCTTCCTCATTTTTTTCCAATGACCATTAAATACTTTCCAAGTCCGGCACTGAAAAAAAAAAACCCAAAACAAAACCCACATTTTTAATGGACATCAGATACCATATTGCTGATTTAATTAGGCAGATTAGAAACAAATAAATGTATTTGCATACACACCCATATTTGTATTTTCTGTTTCATTTCAAACAAATTTTGTAGGCCTGATTTGAATCTCTATTCAAACCACAGGAAAAAAACAATAATGAAAACGTGTTCTGTGCTGACAGCAGAACTGAGCCCTCTGGCTATCTCTTTTTAGAGTTTTATATGACACACTGTCCATTGGTACTGGAAAAATTCACAGAACAGGAGCTTTTCAGAGAATCTTCAGGAGCCTCTTTTTTTGTAGCAGTAATAGATGCCAGCACACCACAAGCTGAGAGAGACATCCCAGAACCTGTCTCTTCAGGGATTCTATAGATCTGACACTCAGGCAGATCTACAACTTCATATTAAAAAAAAAAAAAAAAGAAAAAAAGAAAAGGAATACTTTCCTGGCTCATGTATCACTCAAACAATCCCAGGTAATAATGATGCTGCATAGCAAGTATCAGACAATGTGTCCTTTCTCTTATAATATTTCATACAATTTCTTTTATCCATAATTTGGCAGTACACAGAACTATCTGGAAACTGATTGTTGCTATAAACTGTTTTGCACTTTGTGTCATCTGCTGGCTTTAATTCATTATTTAAACAACACTGTAATTATACCACATTTCGTATTCTAGTTAACCACGAAAGAGTCAGTACAAATTCAAAGTGAGAAAGCAAACTTCTCCCATATATCAAAAAAAACCCCTACTTATTTTCAACTAACCAGCTCCAGCATTCAATAACAATGCAGAAATACAATATTTAGGGTTCAGCAACTTGAGCTCAGTTTTTTTTGCAAATAACTGCACCAACATACTTTTGGTTTTCTTTTGGTTTTGATCATTAGGACTGCGAAATTAATATTAAAATAAGCTGCTTGTCTATTTAAATTTAGAACTAAATTTATACCCTAAATCCACAGATTCATGCTATTATGCTTGCTAAAAGAACAAATTAGTACCAAAATTAGAACAGAGGGTATGCTGAGAGGTGTGTTAGGGGATGACAACATACCTTACAGGCAGTATATCAAATAATGCCAAATCCAAAATTATTTTTTAAGGCCAGCATCTTCTACATATTTATTCATGTACAATTGTACACCCACAGAAAAACACTGCTGCAAGCAATACACTTCACTACCAGTCGAGGTGTTTGCAGCTCCATACAATCCTGCACCCTAACAGGTTTCCAATATGAAACTCTGAATTCTCAAAGCCTGTATAATGCTATATTTGCACATACAGTAAAAATTGTATAACTGACTTGCAAAATACATCAATACTGAAGTCTTTCAGACATGGTTATTCCCAAAGCAATCTTTGTTCTCTAACCTGCAGAATATTAGCAAAGGCTGCCATTTATACCGAGTGCTCCACTACACCACTGACTTTTAAATCCAAATACACAAGAAGGAAAAAATGCTAGCACATTTGTATTTTACTGGCCCACAAAACAAAGATTCCCCATTCCAAGCCCTCCCATCCACGTATTCCATATCAGAAAAGCACACTCACTCCAGACTGTCTGCATTCCTATTTACGGAGATGCTCTGCAATAAAGGGAGCCAACAGAAATCCAAGGGTTAACAAGAAACAAAACCAAACCCTAAACCAAAGCAACGAACCCCCCCACCAAAATGCTCAGCCACGCTGTAGTCCTTGCAAGGAAAGGAAAATGTTCAGCAGACAAGAGCCTAACAAAAAGCAAACGGAGAATTTAGTGTCGCTATTGCCTGGATACCAGTTTGGGATTTAGGCAGCCTTGGATTACAAGGACTATACCCTTGAAAATCCAGCCCACAGTTCCTGCACTGTTTTCTACAAATACCACATCCAAACTGTGACTAAACACCTCATTATGCTTCTCTGGCACTGTTAGGAGCACACATATTGTACGATTTTCTGGGGCACATAAAAGCAGAGGGAAAAAAGTGGCTGCTTTTTACCAATAGGTAATGAAATAATGAACAAGTTCTCTGCAAAAGCTTGCATGATCAGTAAATCTTCTTCCCCTCTGCCCTTTTTGACCTGTGTAGGCAACAGGTGACAAAATACAGCCCCAATCTTCAGCTTTACAAATAAGAAAATGTAGGTAGACTATGAGACATCTGCACTACAATACAGCCTTCTAAAATAAATTGAATTAAGAAACTTAGCCAGGCCTCTACACTGGCTTCAAAAAGTAAATACTTTTCTTAATATTTTTTGTAGAGGTTTCATTTAAAGAAAATACTGTCCTCCTAGTTACAAAAAAGAACTAGTGACTTGAGGTAACAATCTGGTGTTGACAGATCTTAAGAGAAAACCCAAACTGCATTTTCAAAGGAACTGCGTGCCTCAAATATTTCACGATGATCTCTTTTTTCTGTAACTTGCTAATTGATCTTAAATATGTAGATGAATTATGAGTCAATAACATCCAATTTTCTTAGCTCTTACTCCAGATAAACATTATATTGTGATTTATGAACATCTGAAATATTTAATTTGCTGTTCATGGCATTTAAACAGTTAATCTAATTTATGGCAAGTAAGGATTCCACATTAAAGACTCCTTCTATTTTGTCCTTTAAGCTTCACCACTTCAAAAGCCTTTTACCCATCCCCTATTATTTAGCAATAGTCTCCCTTTGTGCAGTGGACATACCATGGCAGTTCAGGAGGCTGCGCCAGTTACATGGCTCCTTTGCCAGTCCCCATATTGCTCATTAAATAATTTTACCCCCATCTATACACACACAGCTGGTAAAGGGCGGCTTTGCTGCATTCAGCTACAGCTACATTTCCAGAGCGAGCCTCGAAATAAAAAAATCAGTGTTACAAAAACGCTCAGCTCTCATCACCGTGCACTTCCCGAGTCTCCGACTGCTCACACTACGTTGGTAAAGCTGGGATGGAGCAGTACACCTGTGTCCCTTCTAGAAAAAACCCACATTAGGCTAAAAACGTTTCAGTTCTGTTAATACTCACTTCTCACTCAGTCTGCAATTAAACAGAACCTTTCTTTAAAGAAAGGATTCCCTAAAATATTTTACATGCTTACAAATAGTTGTCTATTTCAGAAAGCTTTACAAATTCTTCCCTTTGCAAACATTCAGCTGTGCAGCACCAGCGAAGAGCTCCGGGTACAGCAGATGGTTAAAATTCTGCATCATTTTTAAGAGCCTAAGAGAAAGCACTGCCTTTTTTCGGGGGAGGGCGGGGGTGGAGGAGAGGAGAGAAAAAAGCTGAGAACAGCAATTTGCAGCCCCCTTTTTTTCTCTTTTCTTTTTTTTTTTTTTTCCTTGACAGCAGCAAGCTCCGCCTCAGTCTGGCCCTTCCTCCAACCTCTGCTAACCTAAAAACCAGCGCCAGCCTGGCAGCGGGCCAGGGATTCAAAAGTAAACATTATCCTCCTGCCATTTTTCACTGCTGTTTATCATATCCTGATCCCCTTTTTTTCCTTACCCCCCTCCTCCCGCCACCCCCCCCTCGCCATTGCTGAATTCCCCGTGTCCGCTCGCGGTCTGTCCAGCCCTGGGAGTCCCGCTCCGCTGCGCCAAGGCGAGCCTGCACTGCAGGGCGCGGTGCGAGCGCGGCTGCGGCCGTGCCCCGCCGGGCGCACCTTCCCTCCCGCGGCACGGCACGGCACGGGGTGGAATGGGCTGGGACCCACCCGCTCCCCGCACAATGCACTCGCCTCTCTCTCAGCGCTGCAGCTGCCGGCACAAACGCGGCTTTTGCCTCCGCGGCTTTCCCGTTTTCTTATTTAATTGTGAGGGGAGTGCTTAAAGACCAGAGGAGCCATCCAGGAGCGGCCGTGAGGGCGCCGCACGGCGCTGCACCTGACTCTTTGTTATCCCTCATCGCTCATCCCCGGTCCCTTCCGCTCCGCGCTTCCTCCTCCCACCTTGCGCTGCTCCTCGTTCATCA